ACGAATTTTTATTTGGACTCTTCTGCACTTTTCTGGATCAGAAGTGAACAACCAACCAAGAATGAACAACCAAGAATGAAAGGTAAGGGAATAAAAATTTATTTGGAAATTTTGGATCTTGACAACCAACCAAGAATGAACAACCAAGTGAATGGTAAGGAATAAAGAAATTTTATTGGACAGTGGATCAGTGAAGTGAACAACCAACCAAGAATGAACAACCAAGAATGATGGTAGGAATAAAAAAATTTTATTTGGACACTTCTGGATCTATAAATTGGACAACCAAATAAAAAAAACAAGAATGTAACAACCAAAGAAATTTTATTTGGACATGGATAAAACTGAACAACCAACCAAGATTAAAGGAATTTTATTTAAACTTTTCTTTTACATCAGGATCATTGAGTGAACGCAAATCAAGAATGAACAACATAAATGGTAAACAAACAAAGGAAATTTGGACTCTTCTGTATCAGTGAACTGAATAACCAACCTAGTATAACAACCCAGAAATTTTTTATTTGGACTTTTCTGGATCAGTGAAGTGGACAAACCAACCAAGAATGAACAACCAAGAATGAATGGTAAGGAATAAAGAAATTTTATTTGGACTCTTCTGGATCAGTGAAGTCAAGAATGACAACCAACCAAGAATGATCAGTGAACCAAAGAATGAAAAACAGTGAAGGAATAAATAAATTTTATTTGGACTTTTCCAGTGCATCAGTGAAAAAACAAAAATTGTGAACAACCAACTCAAGAATGAACAACCAAAGAATGAAAGGTAAGGAATAAAAGAAATTTTATTTGGACTTTTCTGCATCAGTGAAGTGAACAACCAACCAAGAATGAACAACCAAGAATGAATGGTAAAAATAAATTTTATTTGGACACTTCTGGATCAATGAAGACAACCAACCAGAATAAACAAACAAAGAGGGAATGGTAAAGATAAAAGAAATTTTATTTGGACTTTTCTGGATCAGTGAAGTGAACAACCAACCAAGAATGAAAAAACAAAGAAATTAAGGTAATGAATAAAGAAATTTTATTTGACTCTTCTGCATCCAAGTGGAAGTTTTGACAACCAACCAGAATGAACAACCAAGGAATAGTAAGGAATAAAGGAATTTTATTTGGACTTCTTCTGATCAGTGAACTGAACAACCAACCAAGAATGAAAAACCAAGAATGAATGGTAAGGAATAAAAAATTTATTTGGACCTTCTGCATCAGTGGAAGGAACAACCAACAAAGAATGAACAACCAAGAATGAATGGTAAGGAATAAGAAAATTATTTGACCCTTCTGGATCAGTGAATGGGCAACCAACCAAGAATGAAACAACCTTCTGGATCAGTGAATGAAAGGTAAGAAATAAAGAAATTTTATTTGGACTCTTCTGCATCAGTGAAGTGAACAAACCAGAATGAACAACCAAGAAAGGAATAAAGTAATTTGGACTTTTCAAGAATGAAAATGAACAACCAAAAGTAATGAAGAATAAAGAAATTTATTTGGACTCTACTGGATCAGTGAAGTGAACAACAATCAAGAATGAACAACCAAGAATGAATGGCAAGGAAATAAAAGAAATTTGTTTGACCAATCTGTAGAAGTGAACAACCAACCAAGAATGAACAACCAAGAGTGAATGGTAAAGGAATAAAAATAATTTATTTGGACACTTCTGGATCATGAAGGAACAACCAACCAAGAATGAACACTAAGAATGAAAGGTAAGGAATAAAAAAATTTTATTTGGACTTTTCTGGATCAATGAAAAACAGAGTGAATGGTAAGGAATAAAGCAAGCACTCTTCTGGATCAGTGAACAAACCAAGAATGAAAGGTAAGGAATAAATAATTTGGACTCTTCTGGATCAGTGAACTGGACAACCAACCAAGAAAGAACAATAAAGAATGAGAAAAGGACACTATGAATAAAAGAACAACCAACCAAGAATGAACAACCAAAGTTTAAGACCTTCTGCACTTCTGTGAAGAGAACAACCAACCAAGAATGAACAACCAAGAAATGAATGGTAAGTGAACAGAAATTTTATTTGGACTTTTCTGGATTGGAACAACCAAAAGAACAAGAATATAGTCGGTAAAGGGAATAATTTTATTGGACTTTTCTGGAAAGTGAACAACCAACCAGAATAAACAGGGTAGATAGTAAGAGCAAAATTTTATTTGGACACTTCTGCATCAGTCATGGACAACTAAATCAAGAATGAAAGAAACAGATGGTAAGGAATAAAAGAAATTTATTTGGACACTTACTGGATCTGTGAAGTGAACAACCAACCAAGAAATGAAAAACAAAGAATGAATGGCAAGAATAAATAAATTTTATTTGGACTCTTCTCATCAGTGAAGTGGACAACCAACCAAGAAATGAACAACAAAAGAATGAAGGTGAATAAAGAAATTTTATTTGGACTCTTCTGCATCAGTGAAGTGGACAACCAACCAAGAATGAACAACCAGAATGAAAGGTAAGGAATAAAGGAATTTTAAATCAGTGAAGTGAACAACCAACCAAGAATGATGAAAGGTTTTTTATTTGACTCTTCTGCATCAGGAAATGGACAACCAACCAAGAATGAACAACCAAGAATGAATGGTAAGGAATAAATAAATTTTATTTGGACTAACTGCCATCAGTGAAGTGAACAACCAACCAAGAATGAACAACCAAGAATGAATGGTAAGGAATAAAGAAATTTTATTTGGACTCTTCTGCATCAGTGAAGTGGACAACCAACCAAGAATGAACAACCAAGAATGAAAGGTAAGGAATAAATAAATTTATTTGACTCTTCTGCATCAGTGAACTAAACAACTAACCAAAAGAAAGAAAAAACTGGCGTGAATGGTAAGGAATAAAGATTTTATTTGACTCTACTGGATCCAGTGAAGTGAACAACAATCAAGAATGAACAACCAAGGGCAGATAGCATTAAGAATAAAGGAATTTTGTTGACCCACTTCTGGATGAGTGAAGTAGGCATCAACCAAAATGACAATAAAGAGTGAATGAAGTGAGGAATAAAAGTAATTTGCGGACTTTCTAGATTAGTGAAGTAGACGCTTCAACCAGAATGAACAACCAGAGTGAATGGTAGGGAATAAAAAATGTTTGTTGGACTTTTCCGGATGATGAAGTGAACAACCAACCAGAATAGACAACCAAGAGTGAATGGTAAAGGAACAAAAGTAATTTTATTTGGACTTTTCTGGATCAGTAAAAGTGAACAGCAACCAAGAATGAACAACCAAGTATAGATAGTAGGAATAAAAATAATTTTATTTGGACTTTTCTGGATCAGTGATGAACAACCAACCAGAATGAACAGCAAGTGAATGGCAGGAATAAAAATTTTATTTGAGACACTTCTGCATCAGTAGAGTGAACAATAACCAAATGAACAACCAAAAGAGTGAATATGGGCAGGGGCAAGTAATTTTATTTGGACATACCTGGATCTGTGAAGTGAACAACCAGCCAGAATGAACAGCAAGAGTGAATGGTAAGGGGCAAGAAATAATTTTATTTGGACACTTCTGGATCTGTGAAGTGAACAACCAGCAGAACAGGTGACAAAGAATGAAAGGTAAGGGGCTGAGAAATTTTGTTTGAACACTTCTGGGATCAGTGGGTGAACAGGTAAGAATAAAGAAATTTTATTTTGGACTCTTCTGCATCAGTGAACAACCAGCAGAATGGACAACCAACCAAGAATGAACAACCAAGAATGAAAGGTAAGGAATAAAAGAAATTTTTATTTGGACTCTTCTGCATCAGTGAAGTGAACAACCAACCAAGAATGAACAACCAAGAATGAAAAGAATAAAAGGTTTTATTTGGACTCTTCTGCTTTGGAATAAACCAACCAAGAATGAACAACCAAGAATGAAAGGTAAGAATAAAGAAATTTATTTGGACTCTTCTGCATCAGTGAAGTGGACAACCAACCAAGAATGAACAACAAAGAATGAAATGGTAAGGAATAAAGGAATTTTATTTGGACTCTTCTGCATCAGTGAGTGAACAACCAAGAATGAAATGGTAAGGAATAAAAAGAAATTTTATTTGGACAACCCAACCAAGAATGAACAACCAAGAATGAAAGGTAAGGAATAAAGAAATTTTATTTGGACTCTTCTGCATCAGTGAAGTGGACAACCAGGAATGGTAAGGAATAAAATCAATTTTATTTGAATGAACAACCAAGAATGAATGGTAAGGAATAAAGAAATTTTATTTGGACTTTCTGCATCAGTGAAGTGGACAACCAACCAAGAATGAACAACAAGAGAGGAATTATTTGGACTCTTCTGCATCAGTGAAGTGGACAACCAACCAAGAATGAACAACCAAGAATGAAAGGTAAGGAATAAAGAAATTTTTATTTGGACTCTTCTGATCAGTGAAGTGGACAACCAACCAAGAATGAACAACCAAGAATGAATGGTAAGGAATAAATAAATTTTATTTGGACTCTTCTGCATCAGTGAAGTGAACAACCAACCAAGAATGAACAACCAAGAATGAATGGTAAGGAATAAAGAAATTTTATTTGGTAAGGCATCAGTGAAGTGGACAACCAACCAAGAAATGAACAACCAAGAAAATGGTTTTTTATTTGGACTCTTCTGCATCAGTGAAGTGGACAACCAAATGAACCAAGAATGAACAACCAAGAATGAAAGGTAACAACCAAGGAATAAAGAAATTTTATTTGGACTCTTCTGCATCAGTGAAGTGGACAACCAACCAAGAATGAACAACCAAGAATGAAAGGTAAGGAATAAAGAATTTTTATTTGGACTCTTCTGCATCAGTGAAGTGAACAACCAACCAAGAATGAACAACCAAGAATGAAAGGTAAGGAATAAAGAAATTTTATTTGGACTCTTCTGCATCAGTGAAGTGGAACAACCAACCAAGAATGAAAAAACCAAGAAATTAGTGGAATAAATAAATTTTATTTGGACTCTTCTGCATCAGTGAAGTGGACAACCAACCAAAGAATGAACAACCAAGAATGAATGGTAAGGAATAAAGAAATTTTATTTGGACTCTTCTGGATCAGTGAATGGTGGACAACCAACCAGAATGAACAACCAAGAATGAAAACCAAGGTGGTAAGGAATAAAGAAATTTTATTTGGACTCTTCTGCATCAGTGAAGTGAACAACCAACCAAGAATGAACAACAAAGAATGAAAGGTAAGGAATAAAACCAAGAAAGAATTTTATTTGGACTCTTCTGCATCAGTGAAGTGGAATGAACAACCAAGAATGAAATGGTAAGGAATAAAGAAATTTTATTTGGACTCTTCTGGATCAAACCAGAAGAATAATGAACAACATGGTAAAGGGAATGAAGGAATAAAATAAAGGAATTTTATTTGGAATCTTCTGGATCTGTGAAGGAACAACCAACCAAGAATGAACAACCAGAATGAATGGTAAGGAATAAAGAAATTTTATTTGGACTCTTCTCCTTCAGTGAAGTGGAACAACCAACCCAAGAATGAACAACCAAGAATGAAATGGTAAGGAATAAATAAATTTTATTTGGACTCTTCTGGATCAAGTGAAATGAACAACCAACCAAGAATGAACAACCAAGAATGAAAATTGTAAGGAAATAAAAGAAATTTTATTTGGACTCTTCTGGATCAGTGAAGTGAACAACCAACCAAGAATGAACAACCAAGAATGAAAGGTAAGGAATAAAGAAATTTTATTTGGACTTTTCTGGATCAGTGAAAGTGAACAACCAACCAAGAATGAACAACCAAGAATGAATGGTAAGGAATAAATAAATTTTATTTGGACTCTTCTGAGTGAAGGGACAATCAACCAAGAAAATGGTAAGGAATAAAGAAATTTATTTGGACTCTTCTGCATCAGTGAAGTGAACAACCAACCAAGAATGAACAACCAAGAAATGGTAAGGAATAAAGGAATTTTATTTGGACACTTCTGCATCAGTTAACCAAGAATGAACAACAAGAATTCTTTATTTGGACTCTTCTGGATCAGTGAAGTGAACAACCAACCAAGAATGAACAAACCAAGAATGAAATTAAAGGAATAAAGAAATTTTATTTGGACTCTTCTAGATCAGTGAAGTGAACAACCAACCAAGAATGAACAACAAAGAATGAATGGTAAGGAATAAAGGAATTTTATTTGGACTCTTCTGCATCAGTGAAGTGAACAACCAACCAAGAATGAACAACCAAGAATGAATGGTAAGGAATAAAGAAATTTTATTTGGACTTTTCTGGATCTCTTCCAACCAAGAATGAACAACCAAGTGGTAAGGAATAAAAAATTTTATTTGACCTTCTGCATCAGTGAATGAACAACCAAGAAGAATGAACAACCAAGAATGAATGGTAAGGAATAAAGGAATTTTATTTGGACTCTTCTGGATCAGTGAAGTGAACAACCAACCAAAATGAATAACCAAGAATAAAGGTAAGGAATAAAGAACTTTTCTGGATCAGTGAAGTGGAACAACCAACCAAGAATGAACAAATAAAGAGTGAATGGTAAGGAATAAAGTAATTTTATTTGGACTTTCTCCTTTAGTGAAGTGAAACAACCAACCAAGAATGAACAACCAAGAATGAAAAGGTAAGAAATAAATCAGTGAAAACCAAAGAATTTTTATTAAAAGGACTTTTTTGCATCAGTGAAGTGAACAACCAACCAAGAAAATGAACAACCAAGAGACGAATGGTAAGGAATAAATAAATTTTATTTGGACTCTTCTGCATCAGTGAAGTGGACAACCAACCAAGAATGAACAACAAAGAGGAATGGTAAGGAATAAAGAAATTATATTTGGACTCAACCAACCAAGAATGAACAAACCAAGAATTTAAAGAAATTTTATTTGGACACTTCTGCATCAGTGAAGTGAACAACCAACCAAGAATGAACAACCAAGAGGGAATGGTAAGGAATAAAGGAATTTTTATTTGGACACTTCTGGATCTGTGAAGTGAACAACCAACCAAGAATGAACAACCAAGAATGAAAAGGTAAGGAATAAAAAAAATTTTATTTGGACCCTTCTGCATCAGTGAAGTGGACAACCAACCAAGAATGAAAAACAAGAGGGAATGGTAAGGAAAAAGAATTTTCTTTGGACTCTACTGATCAGTGGAAGTGAACAACCAACCAAGAATGAACAAACCAAGAAGGAATGGTAAGGAATAAATAAATTTTATTTGGACTCTTCTATCAGTGAAGTGGAAACAACCAACCAAGAATGAAAAACAAAAATGAATGGTAAGGAATAAAGAAATTTTATTTGGACTCTTCTGCATCAGTGAAGTGAACAACCAACCAAGAATGAACAAACCAAGAATGAATGGTAAGGAATAAAAGAAATTTTATTTGGACTTTCTGCATCAGTGAAGTGGAATAACCAACCAAGAATGAACAAATCAAGAATGAATGGTAAGGAATAAAAGAAATTTTATTTGGACTTTTCTGGATCAGTGAAGTGAACAACCAACCAAGAATGAACAACCAAGAATGAATGGTAAGGAATAAAGAAATTTTATTTGGACTTCCGGATCAGTGAAGTGAACAACCAACCAAGAATGAACAAATAAAAAAGAATGAATGGTAAGGAATAAAGTAATTTTATTTGACTTTTCTGCATCAGTGAAGTGAATAACCAACCAAGAATGAACAACCAAGAATGAATGGTAAGGGAATAAAGAAATTTATTTGGACTCTTCTGGATCAGTGAAGTGAACAACCAACAAGAATGAACAACCAAGAATGAATGGTAAGGAATAAAGAAATTTTATTTGGACTCTTCTGCATCAGTGAAGTGAACAACCAACCAAGAATGAACAACCAAGAATGAATGGTAAGGAATAAAGGAAATTTTTATTTGGACACTTCTGCATCAGTGAAGTGAACAACCAACCAAGAATGAACAACCAAGAATGAATGGTAAGGAATAAAGAAATTTTATTTGGACACTTCTGGATCAGTGAAGTGAACAACCAACCAAGAATGAAAACAAGAATGAATGGTAAGGAATAAAAGAAATTTTCTTTGGACTCTTCTGGATCAGTGAAGTGGACAACCAACCAAGAAATGAACAACCAAGAATTTATTAAAGAAATTTTTATTTGACTACTGCATCAGTGAAGTGAACAACCAACCAAGAATGAAAACCAAGAATGAATGGTAAGGAATAAATAAATTTGGACTTTCTGGATCAGTGAAGTGGACAACCAACCAAGAATGAACAACCAAGAATGAATGGTAAGGAATAAAGAAATTTTATTTGGACACTTCTGGATCAGTGAAGTGGACAACCAAACCAAGAATGAACAAACCAAGAGAATGGTAAGGAATAAAAGAAATTTTATTTGGACTCTGCATCAGTGAAGTGGAAAAACCAACCAAGAATGAACAACCAAGAATGAAAGGTAAGGAATAAATAAATTTTATTTGGACATCTGGATCAGTGAAGAGAACAACCAACCAAGAAAAACAAGAATGAATGGTAAGGAATAAAGAAATTTTATTTGGACTCTTTTGAATCAGTGAAGTGGACAACAACCAAGAATGAAACAACAAGAATGAATGGTAAGGAATAAAGAAATTTTATTTGGACTCTTCTGGATCAGAAGTGAACAACCAACCAAGAATGAACAACCAAGGGAATGGTAAGGAATAAAGAAATTTTATTTGGACACTTCTGCATCAGTGAAGTGACAACCAACCAAGAATGAACAACCAAGAATGAATGGTAAGGAATAAAAAGAAATTTATTTGACACTTCTGGATCAGTGAAGTGGAACAACCAAGAATGGTAAACAAGAATGAATGGTAAAATAAATTTTTATTTGGACTCTTCTGCATCAGTGAAGGAATGGTACAAGTGAACAACCAACCAAGAATGAACAACCAAGAATGAATTGTAAAGAATAAAGAAATTTTATTTGGAATCAGTGAAGGAACAACTAACCAAGAATGAAAAACAAGAATGAATGGTAAGGATTTTTATTTGGACTCTTCTGCATCAGTGAAGTGGACAACCAAACCAAGAATGAACAACCAAGAATGAATGGTAAGGAATAAAAGGAATTTTATTTGGACCCTTCTGCATCAGTGAAGTGAAACCAACAAGAATGAACAACCAAGAAATGAATGGATTTGGACTTTTCTGGATCAGTGGCGAACTGACAACCAACCAAGAATGAAAACCAAAAATGGAATGGGACTTTTCTGGAAGGAACCAACAAGAATGAACAACAAAAATTTAAAAAATATTTTATTTGGACTTTTCTGGAGTGAAGGAACAACCAAACAAGAATGAACAACCAAGAATGAATGGTAAGGAATAAAGAAATTTTTATTTGGACCAGTGAAGAACCAAGAATGAACAACCAAGAATGAATGGTAAGGAAAAAGAAATTTTATTTGGACTTCTCTGCATCTGTGAAGTGGACAACCAACCAAGAATGAACAACCAAGAATGAAAAGGTAAGAATAAAAGAAATTTTTTTTGGACTTTCTGATCAGTGAAGTGAACAACCAACCAAGAATGAAAACAAAGAGTGGAATGGTAAGGAATAAAGAAATTTTATTTGACACTTCTGATCAGTGAAGTGGACAAACCAACCAAGAATGAACAACCAAGAGTGAATGAAAGGAATAAAAAATTTTATTTGACCTCTTCTGCATCAGTGAAGGACAACCAACCAAGAATGAAACAAACCAAAATGAATGGTAAGGAATAAAGAAATTTTATTTGGACTTCTGGATGGTGAAGGGAACAACCAACCAAGAATGAAAAACCAAGAATGAATGGTAAGGAATAAAGAAATTTTATTTGGACCCTTCTGGACTCAACCAACCAAGAATGAACATCCAAGAAATGAATGGTAAGGAATAAAGAACTTTTGCATCAGTGAAGTGAACAACCAGAATGAAAACCAAGAATGAATGGTAAGGAATAAATAAATTTTATTTGGACTCTTCTGGATCAGTGAAGTGAACAACCAACCAAGAATGAAAAACAAAATGAATAATGGTAAAAATAAAGGAATTATTTGGACTCTTTTGAATCCTAAAGGGACAATCAACCAAGAACTTGAAAAACAAGAATGAAAGGTAAGGAATAAAGAAATTTTATTTGGACTCTTTTGAATCAGTGAAGTGAACAACCAACCAAGAATGAAAAACAAGAATGAATGGTAAGGAAAAAAGGAATTTTATTTGGACTCTTCTGGAAATGAACAACCAACCAAGAATGAACAACCAAGAATGAATGGTAAGGAATAAAGGAATTTATTTTGACTCTTCTGGATCAGTGAACTGACAACCAACCAAGAATGAAAAAGCAAAAAATGAATGGTACAAAAATTTTATTTGGACACTCCTTGAGTGAAGTGGAACAACCAACCAAGAATGAACAAACAAGAATGAAAAAAGTAAGGAATAAAGAAATTTTATTTGGACTCTTCTGCATCAGTGAAGTGGACAACCAACCAAGAATGAACAACCAAGAATGAATGGTAAGGAAAAAACGAATTTTATTTGGACCATCTGTGAAGTGGACAACCAACCAAGAATGAACAACCAAGAATGAATGGTAAGGAATAAAGAAATTTTATTTGGACTCTTCTGGATCAGTGAAGTGAACAACCAACCAAGAATGAACAACCAAGAAATGGTGGAATAAAATAAATTTTATTTGGACACTTCTGGATCAGTGAAGGGACAACCAACCAAGAATGAACAACCAAAGAATGAATGGTAAGGAATAAAGAAATTTTATTTGACTCTTCTGCATCAGTGAAGTGAACAACCAACAACAAAGAATGAATAACCAAGAATGAATGGTAAGGAATGATAAAAAAATTTTATTTGGGATCTTCTGGATCATTGAAGTGAACAACCAACCAAGAATGAACAACAAAGAATGAATGGTAAACAATAAAGGAATTTTATTTGGACACTTCTGCATCAGTGAAGTGAACAACCAACCAAGAATGAACAACCAAGAATGAATGGTAAGGAATAAAGAAATTTTATTTGGACTTTTCTGGATCAGTGAACTGAACAACCAACCAAGAATGAACAAAGAATGAATGGTAAGGAATAAAAAATTTATTTGGAATCCAGTGAAGGGGACAACCAACCAAGAATGAAAAACAAGAATGAATGGTATAAAGAAATTTTATTTGGACTCTTCTTTTATTTGGAATCAAGTGAAGTGAACACCAACCAAGAATGAACAACAAAGAATGAATGGTAAGGAATAAAGAAATTTTATTTGGACTCTTTTGAATCATTGAAGTGAACAAATCAACCAAGAATGAACAACAAAAAGAGAATGGTAATGGACCTTCTGCATCAGTGAAGTGAACAACCAACCAAGAATGAACAACCAAGAATGAATGGTAAGAATAAAGAAATTTTTCTTTGGACTCTTCTGCATCAGTGAATGGGAACAACCAACCAAGAATGAACAACCAAGAATGAATGGAAAGGAATAAATAAATTTTATTTGGACACTTCTGGATCAGTGAAGTGGACAACCAACCAAGAATGAACAACAAAGAATGAATGGTAAGGAATAAAGAAATTTGGACTCTTCTGCATCAGTGAAGTGAACAACCAACCAAGAATGAACAACCAAGAATGAATGGTAAGGAATAAAGAAATTTTATTTGGACTCTTCTGCATCAGTGAAGTGAACAACCAACCAAGAATGAACAACCAAGAATGAAAGGAATGAATAAATTTTATTTGAAAGAATAAATAAATTTTATTTGGAAATTTTCTGGACCAAACAACCATGAATGAACAACAAAGAGGGAATGGTAAGGAATAAAGGAATTTTATTTGGACTTTTCTCCTGAACAACCAACCAAGGAACAATGAATAAACAAAATTTATTTGAAAAGGTAAAAATAAAAGAAATTTTATTTGGACTCTTCTGCATCAGTGAAGTGGACAACCAACCAAGAATGAACAACAAGAATGAATGGTAAGAATAAAAAATTTTATTTGGACACTTCTGGATCAGTGAAGAAACCAATTGAACAACCAAGAATGAATTGGTAAGGAATAAAGAAATTTTATTTGGACTCTTCTGCATCAGTGAAGTGGACAAACCAACCAAGAATGAACAACCAAGAATGAATGGTAAGGAATAAAGAAATTTTATTTGGACCTTCTGCATCAGTGAAGTGGACAACCAACCAAGAATGAACAACCAAGAATGAATGGTAAGGAATAAAGGAATTTTATTTGGACCTTCTGCATCAGTGAAGTGGACAACAACCAAGAATGAACAACCAAGAATGAATGGTAAGGAATAAAAATTTTATTTGGACTCTTCTGCATCAGTGAAGTGGACAACCAACCAAGAATGAACAACCAAGAATGAATGGTAAGGAATAAAGAAATTTTATTTGGACTCTTCTGCATCAGTGAAGTGGACAACCAACCAAGAATGAACAACAAAGAATGAATGGTAAGGAAAAGAAATTTTATTTGGACTCTTCTGCAGTGAAGTGAACAAACAACCAAGAATGAACAACCAAGAATGAATGGTAATGAATAAATAAATTTATTTGGACCTTCTGCATCAGTGGAATGAACAACAAAGAATGAATAAAGAATGAACAACCAGAAGAATTTTATTTGGACTCTTCTGAAAGTGGACAACCAACCAAGAATGAACAACAGTGGTAAGGAATAAAGGACAAAGTGAACAACAACCAAGAATGAACAACAAAGAATGAATGGTAAGGAATAAAGAAATTTTTTATTTGGAAGTGGACAACCAACCAAGAATGAACAACCAAGAATGAATGGTAAGGAATAAATAAATTTTATTTGGACTCCTTCTGCATCAGTGAAGTGGACAACCAACCAAAGAATGAACAACCAAGAAATGGTAAGAATAAAGGAATTTTATTTGGACTCTTCTCCTTAGTGAAGTGAACAACCAACCAAGAATGAACAACCAAGAATAAAGGTAAGGAATAAAAAAATTTATTTGGACTCTTCTGCATCAGTGAAGTGGACAACCAACCAAGAATGAACAACAAAGAATGAATGGTAAGGAATAAAAGGAATTTTATTTGGACAACCAGAATGAATGGTAAGAATAAATAAATTTTATTTGGACTCTTTCAAGAATGCATCAGTGAAAGTGGACAACCAACCAAGAATGAACAACCAAAGAATGAATGGTAAAAATAAATTTTATTTGGACTCTTCTGCATCAGTGAAGTGGAAACCAACCAAGAATGAACTCTTCTCCCCTTTGGTAAAAACAACCAACAAAGAACGAACAACAAAGAATAATGGTAAGGAATAAAGGAATTTTATTTGGACTCTTCTCCATCAGTGAAGTGAACAACCAACCAAGAATGAACAAACAAAGAATGAAAGGTAAGGAATAAAGAAATTTTATTTGGACTCTTCTGCATCAGTGAAGTGGACAACCAAAGAAAGAATGAACAACAAAGAGGAATGGTAAGGAATAAAGAATGAATTTTTATTTGGACTCTTCTCCTTTTAGTGAAGTGAACAACCAACCAAGAATGAACAACCAAGAATGAAAAGGTAAGGAATAAAGAAATTTTATTTGGACTCTTCTGCATCAGTGAAGTGGACAACCAACCAAGAATGAACAACCAAGAATGAATGGTAAAATAAAGAAATTTTATTTGGACTCTTCTGCATCAGTGAAGTGGACAACCAACCAAGAATGAACAACCACAAAGAGGATAAAAGAATTTTATTTGGACTCTTCTGCATCAGTGAAGTGGACAACCAACCAAGAATGAACAACCAAGAATGAATGGTAAGGAATAAAAGAAATTTTATTTGGACTTTCTGCATCAGTGAAGTGGACAACCAAGAATGAAATGTAAGAATGAAAAAGGAATAAAAGAAATTTTATTTGGACTCTTCTGCATCAGAATGACAACCAACCAGAATGGTAAAGGAATAAAGAAATTTTATTTGGACTCTTCTGCATCAGTGAAGTGGACAACCAACCAAGAATGAACAACCAAGAATGAATGGTAAGGAATAAATAAATTTTATTTGGACTCTTCTGCATCAGTGAAGTGGACAACCAACCAAGAATGAACAACAAAGAGGACTCTTCTGCAATGGACAACCAACCAAGAATGAAGAGAATAAAATAAATTTTATTTGGACTCTTCTCCTTTAGTGAAGTGAACAACCAACCAAGAATGAACAACCAAGAATGAAAGGTAAGGAATAAAGAAATTTTATTTGGACTCTTCTGCATCAGTAAGTGGACAACCAACCAAGAATGAACAACCAAGAATGAATGGTAAGGAATAAATAAATTTTATTTGGACTCTTCTGCATCAGTCAGTGAAGTGGACAACCAACCAAGAATGAACAACCAAAGAAGAGGAAATGGTAAGGAATAAAAGGAATTTTATTTGGACTCTTTCTGCATTTAGTGAAGTGGACAACCAACCAAGAATGAACAACCAAGAATGAAAGGTAAGGAATAAAGAAATTTTATTTGGACTCTTCTGCATCAGTGAAGTGGACAACCAACCAAGAATGAACAACCAAGAATGAATTGTAAGGAATAAATAAATTTTATTTGGACTCTTCTCCTTTGAAGTGGACAACCAACCAAGAATGAACAACAAGAATGAATAGTAAAATAAATAAACAACTCTTCTGCAAGAAGTGGACAAACCAAGAATGAACAACAAAGGAATGGTAATGAATAAAGGAATTTTATTTGGACTCTTCTCCTTTAGTGAAGTGAACAACCAACCAAGAATGAACAACCAAGAATGAAAGGTAAGGAATTTTTATTTGGACTCTTCTGCATCAGTGAAGTGGACAACCAACCAAGAATGAACAACAAGAATGAATGGTAAGGAATAAATAAATTTTATTTGACTCTTCTGACTCAGTGAAGTGACAACCAAATCAAGAATAAAACATGGTAAGGAATAAAGAAATTTTATTTGGACTCTCCTTTAGTGAAGTGAACAACCAACCAAGAATGAACAACCAAGAATGAATGGTAAAGGAATAAATAAATTTTATTTGGACTCTTCTGCATCAGTGAAGTGGACAACCAAATTGAACAACAAAGAGGGAATGTAAGGAATAAAGGAATTTATTTGACTCTTCTCCTTAGTGAAGTGAACAACCAACCAAGAATGAACAACAAGAATGAATTGTAAGAATAAAGAAATTTTATTTGGACTCTTCTGCATCACCAAGAATGAACAAAAAAAGAATGAATAAAGAATAAAAAATTTTGTTTGGACTCTTCTCCATCAGTGAAGTGGACAACCAACCAAGAATGAACAACCAAGAATGAATGGTAAGGAATAAAGAATTTTATTTGGACTCTTCTGCTTAGTGAAGTGGACAACCAACCAAGAATGAATAAAGGGAATTTTATTTGGACTCTTCTGCATCAGTGAAGGGACAACCAACCAAGAATGAACAACAAAGAATGAATGGTAAGAATAAATAAATTTTATTTGGACTCTTCTGCATCAGTGAAGTGGACAAATCAACCAAGAATGAAATAACAAAGAATGAATGGTAAAGAATAAAGAAAATTTTAATTGGACTCTTTTGTTTTCAATTTAGTGGAGAAACACTGTAATATGTCGTACATGTAGTAACAAATTTATTTGGACCTTCTGCATCAGTGAAGTGGACAACCAAATCAAGAATGAACAACAAAGAGGGAATGGTAAGGAATAAAGAAATTTTATTTGACTTTCCATAGGTGAAGTGAACAACCAACCAAGAAAGAACAACCAAGAATGAAAGGTAAGGAATAAAGAAATTTTATTTGGACTCTTCCATCAGTGAAGTGGACAACCAAACCAAGAAAATGAACAACCAAGAATGAATGGTAAGGGAATAAATAAATTTTATTTGGACTCTTCTGCATTAGTGAAGTGGACAACCAAAATCAAGAATGAAAAAGAGGGAAAATGGTAGGAATAAAGAAATTTTATTTCCTGACTCTTCTTTAGTAAGTGGAACACCAAACCAAGAATGAACAACCAAGAATGAATGGTGAGGAATAAAGAAATTTTATTTGGACTCTTCTGCATCAGTGAAGTGGACAAACCAAATCAAGAAATGAACAACCAAGAATGAATTGTAAGGAAGAAAGAAATTTTATTTGAAGGACTCTCTGCATCAGTGAAGTGGACAACCAACTAAGAATGAACAACTGGCGAAAATGGAAATGAAGTGAATAAATAAATTTTATTTGGACTTTCCAACCAGTGAAGTGGAACCAACCAAGAATGAACAACAAAGAGGGAATGGTATGAATAGTGAATTTTATTTGGACTCTTCTCCTTTAGTGAAGTGAACAACCAACCAAGAATGAATAAACTAAGAATGAAAGGTGTGAATAAAGAATTTTATTTGACTCTTCTGCATCAAAGTGAAGTGACAACCAACCAAGAATGAACAACCAAGAATGAATGGGGTAAGGAATAAAGCAAATTTTATTTGACTCTTCTGCATCAGAAGTGGACAACCAACCAAGAATGAACAACAAAGAGGAATGGTAAGGAATAAAGGAATTTTATTTGACTTTTCCTTTTAGGTGAAGGAACAACCAACCAAGAATGAACAACTAAGAATGAAAGGTAAGGAATAAAGAAATTTTATTTTGGACTCTTCTGCATCAGGAAGTGACAAACAACCAAGAATGAAATAAACCAAGAAATGGAATGGTATGGAATAAATAAATTTATTTGGACTCTTCTGCACAGTGAAGCGACAACCAACCAAGAATGAAACAACAAAGAGGGAATGGTAAGGAATAAAGAATTTTATTTGACCTCTCCTTTAGTGAAGAACAAATCAACCAAGAATGAACAACAAGAATGAAAGGTAAGGAATAAAGAAATTTATTTGGACCTTCTGCATTAGGAAGTGGACAACCAAACCAAGAATGAACAAATCAAGAATGAATGGTAAGGAATAAATAAATTTTATTTGACTCTTCTGCATCAGTGAAGTGGACAACCAACCAAGAATGAACAACAAAGAATGAATGGTAAGGAATAAATAAATTTTTTGGATTTTCTGCATCAGGACTCAACAAAGAGGGAAAATTAAGTCCTTTAAGTGAAGGATTGACTTCTCCTTTAGAACAAACAACCAAGAATGAACAAACTGCAAATGAAAGGTAAGGAATAAAGAATTTTATTTGGACTTTTCATCAGTGAAGTGGACAACCAAACTAAGAATGAACAAATAAAGAATGAATGGTAAGGAATTGGACGGACTTTCTGCATCAGTGAAGTGAACAACCAACCAAGAATGAACAACCAAGAATGAAAGGTAAGGAATAAAAGAAATTTTATTTGGACTCTTCTGCATCAGCAAGTGACAAACAACCAAAGAAAATGAACAACCAAGAATGAATGGTAAGGAATAAAATAAATTTTATTTGGACTCTTCACATCAGTGAAGTGGACAAACCAACCAAGAAATGAACAAACCAAATGAATGGGTAAGGAATAAATAAATTTATTTGGACCCCCTTCTATCAAAAGAAGTGGGACAACCAAATCAAGAAATGAGAACAACAAAGAGGGAATGGTAAGGAATGAAGTTGAATTTTATTTTGGACTTTCTCCCTAGTGAAGTGAACAACCAACCAAGAAATGAAACAAAATCAAGAATTGAAATCAGGTAAGGAAACCAACCAAGAATGAAAGAAATTACATTTGGACCCTTTCTGCACTAGTGGAAGTGAACAACCAACCAAGAATGAACAACCAAGAATGAAAGGTATAAAGAAATTTTATTTGACTCTTTCTCTGCATCAGTGAAGTGGACAACCAACCAAGAATGAACAAACAAGAAATGAATGGTAAGGAATAAATAAATTTTATTTGGACCCTTCTGGCATCAAAGTGAAGTGGACAACCAACCAAGAATGAACAAATCAAGAATGAATAAGGAATAAAAATAAATTTTATTTGGACTCTTCCTAGTGAAGTGAACAAATCAAACAAGAATGAACAACCAAGAATGAATGGTAAGGAATAAAGAAATTTTATTTGGACTTTTCTGCATCAGTGAAGGGACAACCAACCAAGAATGAACAACCAAGAATAAATGGTAAGGAATAAAATAAATTTATTTTAGACCTCTGCACCAGTGAAGTGACAAACTAAACCAAGAATGAACAAACAAAGAGGGAATGGTATGAATAAAGGAATTTTATTTGGACTCTTTCCTAGTGAAGGAACAACCAATCAACCAAGAATGAACAACCAAGAATGAAAAGTAATGAATAAAGAAATTATATTTGACTCTTCAAGACATCAGTGAAGTGGACAACCAACCAAGAATGAACAACCAAGAATGAATGGTAAGGAATAAAGAAATTTTATTTGACTCTTCTGGTCAAAGTGGGACAAAACAACCAAGAATGAACAACCAAAGAATGAATGGTGGAAGAAATAAAGAATTTTATTGGACTCTTCTTAGTGAAGTGAACAATAACCAAGAATGAACAACCAAGAATGAAAGGTAAGGAATAAAAAAATTTTATTTGGACTTTCTGCATCAGTGAAGTGGACAAAACCAAGAATGAACAACC